TTAGAAAAGAAGCTACCACTGCCACTTTCTCAAACCAGTATGTTTTTTAATTGCATTTTTGATACTTATCCTTCTACCAAAAGAGATCGTGGCTGTCATTCCTTAACAAAGAAACATCCTTTTTTTTGCAGCAGAAGACTATTGCAGAAAACCACAATAGGTCAAAATGCAGAGAAGAAATAAATAGCAGAATTCCCAGGTCCACTTGATATATTTGTAACAAAACACATAAGGCTCAGGGAATAGCACAAAGCGGGGTAAGAGTCAGAGAATCAGGAAGTCGGCTGTGAGATTATGTCTTCTATTTAGGACAGGGAAACTGCACCCATGAAACCTTAACAGTATAGTAGCCCAAAAAAGACCTGAACAATGGTTACCAGTTGACATACCAACATGGCTGGGGGAACTCTCATAGGACTCCACCCACAGATAAAGACCAATTACCAAATGCTGAGAGAAATATCAGTTTTCCCTAGGAATGAGCCCCTAACTGGTTATCTAAAATGTCTGGGTAAGGTGGGGTTTAGGGCCGGCATAAAATCCTGTGGTGATCGTTTTAGGCTAATTAGCTGTCTCATCTGGTTATTCTAATATACTATACAGACACTTCCACACTCTACTACATGTTACCATTACCTAAATATGTCAAGATGTAATGACCTTTGGTGAGTACCTAGGTAAAAATAATAATGAAAAAGAGAAAATCTAATACTTTCAAAAGCTCGAAGATTTTTGTTTCTGCTGCTGCTGCTGCTTGATTTTGGTTTTAATTTATATCTCACTATATGGCCCAGACTAGCCTCAAATTAGAAATCCTCAAATTTCCGTTTCCTGAATGATGAGGTTACAGATGTGTGCCATCACATGCAGCTTAAAACCTAGCTTTAAACATAAAATCTAGAGATGACTTGAAACTATAGCACGTTAAACCTTATTAGACTAAAGGAAGAATTCTTTATAGGGAAGCATCTGAGACTAATCCAAATGACCATGGAGAGATAGGCAAGGTTTCCTGGCGACATCTGAGAATAGAACTGATTTCACATTTCTATGATGTCTGAGCTAATTTCCCCCCAGGGACAGGAAAGACAATGATTTGAATCATCTTTAGCCCTATCTGTTTAGTGCTTTGTTCCTTCTATTGTAAAATTAGTTCCATGGTTACAAATGGCAATGTCACAGATGATTAGTCATAACGATCCCAAGCTAAACTCAGAGTTTTCATCCCCTCGGCTAGATTTAGAAATATGTGGAGAATGTGGTAGATTGTCATATTAACACCGTCACACGTGAATACGATATGCTTCCTTGAGTGCTAAGGAAGAGGAGGCAGAATGTGCAGAAGAGGACTGTCTCACTCCCGTAGATTTGTCCAGTGAAAATTTATCTACTTAGTGCAAACCCAGAAAGATTAAGTGCCATATTATTTAAAGCTCCCCAACTCACTTATTTTAGAGGTGGGAAAGAAGACCAAGGGTGGAAAAGACTTTGCCAATCAGCAACCAAAATATGACTTAAGCTTTGGACTCTCAATTCTAACTCTGTTTTTTTTTTTCCTGAAAATATTTTGGTACTTACAGGTTTTGGTGCATAGCTATTACTATCTAGAGCAAGAATATCATCCATGGTCCAGGTAAATACAGATTTCTCAAATTCTCTTTGGTATCTATTGTTAAGGAGTTTCTAAAGAGATAGTTTCTAACGTCTTCAACAAAAGCTGTAACTAGGTTGGCTGCACTGGACAGTTTCTTAAAGCAGAATCACAGTGCTCCCCCTTTTGTTCAGATTAGCATAACCATTGTTGGATCTTGTGTTTTGAAGACATGATGTTTGAGAGTTGGGGAAAATAGGGCATACTTCTAAGACTAAAGGATTTCCCTGGGGTTTGAGACTAGAAACACTATGAAAAGAAATTTAACTAGGAAAGATCTGTTGAATCAGACAATAACAATAATGTTTGCCCTCTTTGAAGACCAAATGATATGACAAAATGACAACAGTTTATTGTCATACTAGCTTAAGTATGCAGAAGTGAGCAATTATATACACATATATATGTATATATATAATTTTATTGTTTTGCAATACTTTTTGAGAATCTACTCTGTGTCATGCACTGGGTTATTGATTAGACATCATAATCAACGAATGAGATTTCCTTCCATGTATGGAATTTACATTTTAATAAGATAAATGAGCTACAAGTAAATGAATACAGAAATGTGCAATTTTGCAATAGTCAAAAGTATAATGATAAAAAATAAAACACGAATAAGAAGCAATACAAGTTTTTTGTTGTTGTTGTTTTTTCGAGACAGGGTTTCTCTGTGGTTTTGGAGCCTGTCCTGGAACTAGCTCTTGTAGACCAGGCTAGTCTCGAACTCACAGAGATCCGCCTGCCTCTGCCTCCCAAGTGCTGGGATTAAAGGCGTGCACCACCACCGCCCGGCATACAAGCTTAAAATTTTAAATAGAATATTTAACATAAAAACTTGAAGCACCTTATTGGAGGAGGATTTCTCTAGGCAGGGCGACAAATAGTTCAAGATCTCTGTTTGAGAGCATGTCTGGTACATTAGATGAATAGCAACGAGCCAGTAGGGGTGGCTTAGTAAGAACACAGGAAAAGGAACAAAAGATAAAGTCAAAACAGCGAGGAAGCTGACCCTACATGACATTGTAAGTAATAAGTTTCAATTTTTACTTGAATAGAAATTATGAGCCATTGGAAAGCTTTAAACAAAGGGGAAAAAATACCTTAGGTCATGATAGCCTGTCCTAGTTAGCAAGTGCTGAACAGACTCTACTTCATTTATTAAAGATAGCATCACAAATAATCTAGCTTTCATTTTGAAGTACCACTTCTCAGAGTTTTAAATCTATTGCAATCAAGTGGGTGAATTACTAAAATACATCATCTTATTCAGTAAATCTGAGACAGAGCCAAAGATTTTGCATGGCTAACAAGGTCTCGGGTGATGCAGATGTTGCTGGCTACCATACAAATCTTTGAGATGAAAATGAGAGCTATGGATAGATAAGTGAACAGAAAAAAAGGAACTTTGAAGGGAGAACTAAAACTATACTTTCTAAAATATCTGGAGCATATTTAATTAGAGTAATGCATTTATGATCTTAGGGACGTAGCTCACTGGTAGCGCACTTGCCTAACATGTACAAGGGCCCAAGGTTAAAGGCCAGGACAATGCACATGTAAACAACCACAGTGCACTTACTTGATTCCATCAACAACTTTAAGAAGTAACTATATAATGAAGCCCAGAAGACAAATGAGAAAATTAAGCCCAGAGTATGTGTATGTTTGGTATGGGGTTACCTTTAAGCCTACAGGGTTAATTTGTGACTAAGTCGAGACAGAACAGCCAGAACATTATGTTTCTAGAATCCTTGTTCTTTCTACCCTGTTATTGATTCATGACATGAAGAGGATTTTTAAAAATTTTTAATTTAAACTCTTTTTTCACTTTATACGCCAACCAGAGTTCTCCCTCCCTCCTCTCCTCTCATTTTTCCCTACCTTCCCCCACCCAACCCCCACCCACTCAATAGGATAATTTTTAATACATTTAATTGAGAAAAGAAAATGAGCTGAGGTGAAATACCGCTAAATCATCTTTCCATAACTGTACTTTCACATGTGATTTCAAATAGTAGTGTTATTATTTAAATTTAAATTAATTCCATTTCAATAAAAAATTAGGTTTTCCTTCTCATTAACACCAGTCATGTTTCAAAAGCTTGGCCGGCTAGCAGATGTCTACTGGAGAGAGGAGATAAAACATTTTTCATCACTGCAGAACATTCTGTTAGCTAGCTCCGCTCTAGGGAAACAAGGACTGAAAATGTTACAACTATACCCTCGACTGGAAAGTAGGCCCCAGGCGAAGAAAAGAAAATGGGTTTGGATTTCTCTTGTGAGGGAAGGAAACAAGATGAGTCAATGAGGAGTTTTCGGAAGGTCAAAAGCAAGCTGGATAGTTTTGTTCTCGGTGTGTGTGTTTAAACCTTTTAAAACAGGGCTCGAGAAACAGCTCTGTGGACCACAGTCATCTGGAACTCCAGGTCCAGGGAGCCAAATGCCTCCTTGGGTATCAAGCACACATGTGGTGCACAAACATACATGCAGGCAAAACATCTAAACACATAAAATAAAAACTTTAAAAATATTTTAAAAACATTCTTTTACCACTTTCCATTGATTTTCGCTTATTGCTTAGTAATAAACCCTTGGGAAATGTTAACTGGCCTCCTTAAGCTAAAGAGAATATTGGGCGGATGGGAAACAGGAGACTCCCATCATCTAGAGAGCTAGAATGCATGGAGTTAGGGGATATAGTGACACAAACTGTTGTTCTAGCCTTCATCTCCTGGTGATTCCTTTCATAAGTATTTATTTGTTCAAATTAACCACAATGTTCTTCACGTGGGGAAGCAGACAGGCACATTAGGATCATCAATGATGCTCTTGGAACTTAAGTAGGTGCGTGTCTTCCCGAAGCCCTGGGAAATTCATGACTTAGGTGGCAGGAGTGAAAACCTTACATCTGCACCCGAAATTTAAAAAAAAAATTCTAGGAACTTTTCTATACATTCAAGTCTCTTAATATCTTGCTTAAATTTGCTTTAATTAATGAGGAAGGTTAGGCCTGTCCTGGATTAGAAGCCAAGAGGTTAAGGGTACAGATTCAGGGAAGGAAAGGACAGAGACAAAGACAAGGTAGACAGGGAGGTAGAGGGCAGAGAGACATTAAGTATATATTAATGGATTAATGACAAAGAAGAATCAAAGAGAGGAGAGAAAAAGAAATTGAAAACCCAAAGGATGCAATTTCATCCCATTGAAAACTGTCTGGGTGGTCAGTGCAGCTAATTTGTCCAACATTTTGGGATTACCACAAAGAGGTCCATGCTGACTGCCAGCTCTTCCTAGAAGAAGAATATCCCACCACCTATGCCCCCCCATGCACCACCATGGCTACCTCACAAATGTCCTTGAGGTGCTTGATGTAATGACGCTCGGTGCTCATGATCTCATTGATGACATTGGCCCGCATCTGGTCGCGGTTCTGTAGTGGCCGGCCCAGACAAAGGCAGTCTGAATTGGGGTCCAGGTGCCCATTCTGCACATCACTGGGCCCTTCCTCCACCCCATCCTCCTGGTTCACCCAGAGCTGTAGAAGTAGGCAAAGAAAAAATAAATAATAATGGGTTAACCTTCTTTGAGAAATTTTCAGCTAGAGAAAGGAAAAATGAGTAACTATATATTTACAAAGCCTTCAATCAGAAGCGTTTGAAAACAAGAGTGCCAAGACTAACTCTAGGGTGTCTTGCTGGCCCTAAACTGGGCTTCAAATTCAAAAAAAAAAAAAAAAAAAGATCTACCTACCTTAGCTTCCTAAGTTCTGGAGATTAAAAGTTTACACACCCTGCCTGGCTCTTTTCTTTCCTTTTTTAAAAAATGTGTATAATTAATCCCTTACTACCTACCATTTAACACAATTAAAAGTTCTATAATGAATAAATATTTTAAGGAGTAGATATGGTTTTTAAAATTTATTCCAAAACACTGGAAAATAAAATTAGTTGTATTTATAATAATGAAAACAATTATTCCCTAATATTCTGTTACTTTCTCCCATCCCAGCCTATGTCAGTATATGAGATATCTTCATTGGGTGGAATTTCATCTCTGAATGCTGTATCAAACTTGCTAAAAATTCTGGATAGACTAATGCAAACATTTTCACAAATATTGTTCACACATGCTTCAGCTAGCGTACACAGGCTCCTGGATGACAAATAAAAATATAAAAACTGCCTATACTCTGTCATATTTCTAGAGGACTTATTAAAGTACTAAATGAATGACTGAATCATTGAATGGAAGTAAATCAGGGTTAGTGACATCAAATTATCAATTATCTGTATCAGATATATACTATGCCTAACCACTACATGACTGTAAAAGAAGCCCTGGAGAACAAGATGGTGGATTTCTCATTCTTCATTAGAGTCAATGAAGTCTTTCAAAATCTAGTTCTTGTCTTCCTTTTGCATTCCCTCTGTTACTGCCTTCATCTCTCTATAATAAGACACAGTCCCAGAGAAACACCTAGCACCAATCTGTCCTACATGCTACTAACAGACCAGGTCCTTGACAATAACTTTGATCAGCGAGCCTCAAACCAAAAATTATCAAAAACCTCGCACTGCTTAAGTCCATATGCTTCATCTACTTTTCAAAATTTTCACAATACAACCCCAATTGTATTTCCACTCTTATCTCCTATTCTCTTCAGAAATAATAGGCTTTTCTCAGATTTTTTTCTTTATACAGATTGATATATATATGTATATATATATATACATCAAGCCTATATAGAGTACAGAAATAACGTATTTAAAAACTTAAACAATAATGACTTCAGCACTCAATTTTCTGATAAAGAAACTGATCTTCACAGGCACTGCCAGGGACAACATCTTTGATATACGTATGTGTGTGTATCTTCTAATGGTTTTAAATTATTTACTCAATACAAAGGAGATATATGCCTCACAAAATGTAAAATAGAAAACAAGTAAAACTGTGGTGGTTTTAGTGACAATGGTCCCCACAGATCCATAAGGAGTGGCACTATTAGAAGGTGTGGCCTTATTGGAGGAAGTCCATCACTGGGCTTTGAAGTTTCAGAAGCTCAAACCAGGCCCAGTGTCACACTTTCTCCCTTCTGCTGCAGATTGAGATGTAGAACTCTCCTGCTACTTCTCCAGGATCATGCCTGCCGGCATGCTGCCATGCTCCCCACCATCATGATAATAAACTAAAACTCCAAACTGTAAGCCAGCCCCAGTTCAATATTTTTCTTTGTAAGCGTGGCTATGGTTATAGTGTCTCTTCACAGCAATTGAAATTCTAAGACAAAGACCCTGTTTAGTAGAATCAATGAAGAATAGCAATATTACAACAGGCTTACAGAAAAGTCATTGAAAGGGAACACTATGAACAATTGTACACTAAAAATTCAATTAAAAATTATGCAATGGATAAGTTCTTAGAAACACACAGACTAGAACAAACCCAAGAACAAACAGTAATCTAAGTAGGGCAATAAGAAGCATGAGACTGAGCAATCAGAAGCTGCTCACACAGAAGCAGGCGACAAGGTCTGCTGGTTTAAATATTTGATTTCAAATATTTAAAGAATTATTGTTCATCTTTGGCAAAACCCTCAAAATACAAAAAGGCAGACACCTTAACAAAATGTTAGCAACATTTTTTAAACCTTCCTTATCAAATGGGATTGATCTCTGCAATACAAAAGTGGTTTAACATAAGAAAAGCAATGTAGTACAACATAATAATGAAAGTTATGAAATCCCACATGCTTATCTCAATCAGTATACTCCTTCGTGATTAAAAAGTATTTAATAAACTAGAAATAACTTCCTCCAAATGATAAGGAGTATTTATGAAAAGAACATACACCCAAGAAATCAAGGCTATTATCTACTCTTATCACTGTGATTCAATATTGTACTAAGAACTCTAGCAAGAGTAACTGAACAGGAAAAAAATAAAAGAAATTTAATTTAATAGAAAATATAAAACTAACTCATATATATAAATCATGCAATCATATACACAGGAAACTCTAAAGAATCCACCCAAAAGCTGTGCTAATAAACAAATTCAGCAATATTTGTAGAATATGGGATAAATATTTTAAAATTAACTGTACTATCTAAGATTAAAATTAAGAATACTACATTTAAATAGTACGAAAAATCAAGTAATTGAGTGAATTCAACAACTTTACATTTTTTGACATCTTTAGTAGTCTTTCTCTATAAATAAATTAATAATTATAAAAGGAACTGAAATGTCTCACCAAAGATTCATAAATTCCTAAAGAATCAGTTCCCAATGTAGCAGTGCTCAGAGGTGATGCTGGGGAAGTGATTATATCATGAAAGTGCCGATTTCATCAATGGGTTAATCAACTGATGGACTTATAACTTGATAGACTAATGGGAGTGCTGGAAACAAGAGATGGGATCTAGCTAAAGGGGGTAGTCCTTAAGAGTGTGTCCTCAGTTTTTTCTTTCTCATTCATATTCATGTCCTCTCGCTCTCTCTTTGCTTCCATGGTATGAGATCAGCAGCCTCCTCTGGAACCTTTTCCTAGCACCATTGTGCTATGCCTCCATAGCCTCGGGCTGAAATCTCTGAAACCATGATCCAAAATAAACTTTTCTTCCCTTTAAATTTTTCTTCCTTTTTTTTCCTTCAGGTATTTGGTCACAATGACAGGACGCCAACTACTATGGGTAACATCATTATGCGTTCAAGGAAAGTTCTAGAGTTACTTTTGTCTTATCTCTTAATGGAGCAATGTGATGTTTTGTAGGTGAAAGATGGAATATTTAGAACTGTCAGCTAGAAAACAAAGAGTGCATGCTAAGAGTTTAACGGGCAGTTCTGTGGGAGGTTGGAAGACAATGCTGAGAAAAATGAAGATAATGGAGGCCTGGCTTGTGAAGTGTCAAACAGAACTCTGAGAATCCCATAAAGACTCGGTCAGGCTCTCTCATTTGTGGGATATAGATGAGTTAAGCATCTGTGGAAGTGAAACCTTTGCTTTAATGGGACAATGGACACTGGTGAGCTAGTAATGAAAAATCACCTGTGATTAATAAGAGACAGGCATTACTGAGGCAAAACCTGGGAAGTGTTCTCTCGGGGTTAGCACATAAACGTTTGGTCCAGGCAGGGCTAAGACCTTCAAGTTGACAGTAGAATTTGCTAAGTAATGTGTAAGACACTTCCACATGGTACTAGTTTTGAAGATGTGAAGGGGACACAAAGAATTGCTGAATCACAAAACCTTGTGGCAGTGCTGGAGGACCTACAGAGACACACTGAGTGACCATCAGTGAAGGTGAAGTGTCAGTAAGTGGAAATTGTAGGACTGAAGAGAGAAGCTGAGGCTTGTCAACATGTGGCGTGGTTAAAAGTCACAGTTAGCTTTACTTGTCACCTTGATATACACAGAAAGAGGGAACCTCAATTAGTAATTGTCTCTATTGGACAAGCGTATGGGCATGTTTGAGGCACTTTCTGATTTCTAATTGATGTAGATGGGTTCAGTCCAGTGAAGAGGGCACCATTCCTGGGAAGGTGGGCCTGAACTATATAAAAGAATGACGGCCAAGCAAGTCAGGTAGAGCAAGCCAGTAAGCAGCACCCCTCCATGGTCTCTGCTTCAGTTCCTGCCTTGGGGTTTCCGCCTTGAGTCCTTGCCTTCAGTTCCCTTTCTCCCTAGATGATAAACAGTAACTTCGAACATGAATTAAACTGGTTCCTCCCCAAGTTACTTTTGGTCAGTGTTTATCATAGCAGCAGAGAAGTAAAGTAGGGCATTGCCCCACTAATCAATATATAAACACTTAACATTCTTGCCTAGCACAAAGATAATCAGCAAACTCCTTGGCCCTCAAGGGAAAGATAATTAGTAATTATTACTAATTAACTGAAAATCACCATAAGAAAGCTGTTAACAAATTGCTTTTCCCTTTCTAACATACATATAATTAGAAGTAATGATCTCCAATAAAACAATGAAAATTTTGGTTGCATTAGAAATGGAGGGGAGAGGGATGGGGAGAAAAAGGAAAACCTCACAGAAATGCATTCATAACTACATTAACACACTAAACTAGGACTTGTCCGCAGGGTTTTACTGTACCATAGTACACCCATGATATCAACCACGTCTTTCCAACACATCCTTGGAGCACAATGAAGCCAAGTGCCCTGAACTTAACTCTGGAAGTGTAAAAGCCAAAATACATCTTCCTTCATTTGTTTCTTTCAGGTATTTTGGTCACAGCTACCCAAAACATGCAAACAAACAAAACCAATGTAACAGACTAAATAAGGTTTCCTTTTTTAAAATTGTATTTCCACTTTCTATGCAAGAAAGCCAAGGCAGTGAGTCTCTCGTGGTAAACAAGCAGAATCTGAGATTGATGCACAGTCTCTAAGTACTTAGACCAAATCAGGAGAAAATCTGGCAGGGTAAACAAAGTAGACTTGATAGCTTGGGTAGAAATATGGGCTTTCCAACACAAAGTAAGTTACCTGACTTCTCTAATCCTCAATGTCCTT